GGGGGGGGGTGGATGAAGTTTTGGTCCCCCTTTTCTGAGGGTGCTGGGGGGTTGTCGATGCCCTTTTGGGTGCTGGGGGGTGTCGATGCCCTTTTGGGGTCCCCCTTTCCTGTGGGTGCTGGGGGGGTGTCAATGCAGTTTTGGGGTCCCCCTGTCTTGTGGTTGCTGGGGATGGGGGGGTGTCGATGCCCTTTTGGGGTGCTGGGGGGGTGTCGATGCAGTTTTGGGGTCCCCCTGTTCTGTGGGTATTGGGGGAGGCACTGATGCCCTTCTGGGGCCCCCCTGCTCTGTGGGTGCTGGGGTGGGGGTGTCGATGCCCTTTTGGGGTGCTGGGGGGGTGGGGCCAGCAAGGCAGTTTTGTGCTGGTGGGGGGGGGGGGGGGGGGGCGAGCGAGGCAGTTTTGTGGGGGGGGGGGGGGGGGGGGGGGGGGGGGGGGGAGACATTTTTGGGGTGCCAAGGGGGGGTCCCTACGCGTTGTAGGGGAAGCTGAGCAGGACCCCCTCGTAGGGCTGCAGCTGCAGCTGCCCCAGCTCCACCTCGGAGCTCTGGGGGCCGCTGCGGTGGGTGCTGAGGCGCAGGGTGGCCCTGGGGGGCAGCAGGGCCTGGGGGAGGCTGACCGGGCCCAGGGGTTCCCCGCGGGGGTTGAGCACCAGCAGGAATCGGTCGTTCTGGTCCCAGCGGCGCAGGACGGCCACGGCCCCGCCCGCCGGCAACACCTCGGCCCCGCCCAGCGACAGCGACCGCTCCCCCGCCCGCAGCACGCCCAGGGCCCGGCACAGCTCCAGCACCTGCCACTGAGGGAGAGAAGGGGGTCAGCAGGGCTGGGGAACCCCCAAACACGGCCTCGGGGGGACAAATGGGGTGCTGACCCTTTAAGGGTGAACCTCGTGGAATTGCCCTTTTAAGGATGATATTGCCCTTTTAAGGGTGTATTGCCCTTTCAAGGACAGTATTGCCCTTTTAAAGATGTATTGCCCTTTTAAGGACAGTATTGCCCTTTTAAGGATGGTATTGCCCTTTTAAAGATGGTATTGCCCTTTTAAGGGTGCATCGCCGTTTTAGGAGTGAGGTTGAGGCACTGTCTCTTTAAGGACCCACTTGGGATGTTGCCTCTTTAAGAACAGCCCCACCCCTGGCATTGCCCCTTTAAAAACACACCTGAGTTTGTTGCCCTTTTAAGGACTCGCCCCACCCCCAAGAACCAGGTAAGGAGGCGGCCCCACCCCCTGGGCTGTTGCCCCTTGAAGAACAGCCCCTCTGGGGGCGTGGCCGAGTGTGGACCCGCCCCTTCTAAGATTCCCACTCCTCCTTTAAGAAAACATGGCAGCCATTTCCCCTTTAAAAACACCAGGCTTAAGAAAGCCCCGCCCCTTTTAGGACAAACCCCACCCCTACACAGATGAGTAAGTCCCACCCCTTAATCTCAGGCCACACCCCCTCCCTCAAAAGCTCCGCCCTCCAGTGTCACACCCACTCCAGGGCCATTGCTACTTTAAAGGAGCTGCCCTTTCTTGAGGCCACGCCCCTTCCTTGAGACCCCGCCCCCTCCTAGGAGACCCTCCCATACCAGAGGCCCCGCCCACCTCAGAGGTGTTCCCACCCCCTCTCCAAAGCCCCGCCCACCTCAGAGTTGTTCCCACCCCCTCCCCCAAACCCCGCCCACCACAGAGCTGTTCCTGCCCTTTCCTTGAAGCCCCGCCCCCCTCAGAGCTGTCCCCGCCCCCTCCCCGAAGCCCCGCCCACCTCGGAGCCGTTCTTGCTTTCCTGGAGTTTCTGGATTCGCTCCCACGGCATCGGGGGCGGCTGCGGGGGGAGGGGAAAGGGGCGGGGTCACCCCCAAATCCCCCCCAGCTCCCCAAAACCCCACCCCTTGGACCCCCAAAATCCCTACCCCCCAAGTTGCTTTCAATTCTCCTCTGAGACCCCCAAACCCCCAATGTTCTCCCACA